TCTACAATATTATGCAATAATGAAAATAACAGCGTTGAAATTTTCACAATTCTTTCACAGAAAATAATATAAATAACGAGATATAATTTCAACATTTAAAAAATTTTCAATTCTCTAACGAAGAAATTATTAAGACTCGACCTTTCGTCGCTCTGTAAAAATTCACAGCCGCCATTTTGTAAACGTGCATTTGTTTTATAAACAACGTACACGTGCTCCTTGTTGAAAACCATGGAAAATCTGCTTCTTTTAACCCTCGGTATACTGTGCCAGAGGAGCCACTGGTCACTCGCCATCTTTAGAGCGATAACGCACACAAGGACGGAACTGTTCGTGTTAGTTACAAAATGACAATCGCCTTTACAAGTCCGCAACGAGAAGTGTAACCGAACACGGGACGTTCGGTTTCTTTAGATCTCACTCGACACAGCGGCAAATGAACAAATAGAAATAAAACTCTTGCTCGGCTTTTCTTCAGCTCGCGAAGATATATAAATCCCTCTTTAGTCTCTTACAAAGCTTTGAAGGTGAAAGACGAGTCGAAAAATTTATTCCGTGCAAAAGTCTATTTCTTAATTGTTTTTCTTATTTTTGTTGGTTGGTTTTTACACCAAGTGCCAATCTCTGTACGCTCAATATGCCGAAGCCGAAGACGATCACAAATTCGACACGAAAAAAGACAATTGTACGTTATGCTTGTACCAGTAAAATGAACGACTAGAATAAGTATCATTTTCTTTTATAATTTTTGATTTTTTTCCCTAAATGTGATCCCGAATACGAAGTAGCAGGAGCCCCGCCCAAGTTTCAGCGGCCGTAACTGAGTTAGTACAATATCGGCGAAGAGTTCGAGCCATTGTGAATTAGTAGTGAAATATCGGTGTGAGTTGGAAATGACTCCGGTACAGGACTCTGTGTTTTCAGTAGTGCGAGGGTTAACCTTGACACTAATCTGCATTCGAATTGAGTGGATCAAGCATGTAAAGTATATCATACTTCGACTCCCGTGTCGATTAATCACCGATTAACCTTCTCATACATTACACGCTAACTATGATTAATAACAAATTTTATCTTTATGGAAAGAACAGCTTTAATAACAGTACAAACTCGTAGGAGAAATGATTTTCCATAGTTTGATAGAACTATGTATAATATTATATTTAAGTTGCAAACATCTATTTATATCAGATATTTCTGAGAAGAATGGAATTTAATAGGAGGTTGTTATGACTTCACTTTAAAAATAGTGATAATTAGACGTTAGAAATGTTTCCTTAATTTATTCTATTCGTTAAAAATAAACTGCTATAAATAGCGATAGATAAAGTTAACCGATGATGTGAAAGAAAATAAGGAATGTTGACTTGTGAATGAAAATTTGACTGCACGCACAGGACAACCAATTGAGGAAAACTGAGCAACTTAGAGCTGATTAGCTCCATTTACTGCACCAAAAAATTTTAAATGTAGTAAACGAACACGTTACGAACACTGAATCATAAATGATTACATTAATACACGTCGTTTATCAAACGTTCAAGCCACATAGTTTCTCCTTAAATGATTCAATTTAAAAGTCGCGGAATAAAAACAATCAGCTATTCAGAAGAATAAAATCACCTTACTGATTTCTTCGTTTTACAAATACTTTCCCCATAAAAACAAAATCAATACGTGCAAACACATGGGTCGTAACCTTCGTACAATAATTAGCACCGCAACAAAAGAAAGAAAAATAAAAAATTACGCTCGACGTTGAAAGAATCCCGAGTGTAGAATTACCATAATAAAAAATACTGCCAACGCTGCACGTGTAAAGCTGTACTACCGCGATGCTATCAGCGTGGCACGTGCTAGACCTTTTCAAACAGCAAGAAAAACAACCAACATTCACTTTTCGAACCAAAGAAAGAAAAAAGAAAGAAGAGCAACAATCTAACAAATAACCGTGAGAGAAACAAGAGAGAAAAAGACCGCCATTTTCAAACGCTGAATAAATACAGAGCGATGCACGCATGATACCGGTCGTTGCAGAGGTTCACGCTAGTCTAATCGTCCTCCCGATCCGCCTGCTTCTAATCTCTGTCAACACTATCGTGCTGGTGCGTCGCGTGGAGCAAAAACTACCTATTCGACTCGACTCGACACAACGCAGTGAATCATTTCCGAAAAAAGCGTCTCCTGTATCCAGCAAGTTCACGGCTAAACGTCAGGTTCTTTTATTCCATGTATAAGTCGAAACGTAGCACGATTGGAAAACGACAGGGCCCAACCAACGAACGAGAATAGAAAAGGCAACGGTGGCCTACTGTACTAGCCGGAAAGAACGAGAAAGAGACGAGAGAACAAACGTAGGAAAGAAGAGGAGAATGAGAAACACTGTGTATGAGAGAGAGAGAAACAGCATGTAGACAGTGTAGAGAATTCGAGAGTAACGTAGGAATTGAATTTACCAGTTTCGTTTGTTCTGTCCTTGCGGCGAAGATAACGCGTGTCCGCGCGTTCACGTCGCGTCGATCGTCTTCTTTGTTGACGACCAATCTCTCTCTGCGATCCCTCTACCGATCCGTCCGACGACAGGGTCGGGCATAAACTGAAGTGACCAGCGTTATTCGTCGGCCGAACGAGAGGTCGAAAGTTCCGCGTTAAGAAGAGAGGTCTAACGCGCTCGTATATAACGAGCGAGCGAACGCGAAAGCGATGGGCGAAGAGGAAAGAGATATCGGGCTGCGCGCCGACCCGACATGCGACTTCGCCATGTAATGGTTGTCTAAATAGCGGGCTCGCGTGGACAGGCTATCGCTGTTCAAGATCCACGCCCTCGTTCGGGTGTCGGGCTAACAAAATTAACATCGCCGGATCGTCGATACGACGCGCGGTACCATTTTCAGCCGCTATTCAATGTTCGAGCGTCGACCGATCGAATTTTGTAAATGCACCGAAGGTTGAAGAAGTGTTGGGTTTGCTATCTAGCGAAATGATGTATTTCCAGTGAGTTAAATTGGAGATCGAATGAATTGGAGGATGGGAAATGAAACGTTGAGAATTGAGTGTTTGATTGATGTGGGAAAAAGATTTTAGAGTCACTTAGAGGTACAGTTTGCAGATACCTTGAGTATATGAAGGTTAAATATTAGTGTAACGATGTCTGACAGTTATTCGAATAAAAGTGTGGAAAGATCTGTATTTTTTGAATCTTAGAAAATAATCTTGGAAATAATAAAATAGTTTTTCATTGAGTAATATTATTTAAAAAATAAATAATGCTATTTATTCAGCTATATTAGCATACATGTTAAATTTAAAATGCGATAATACTTGGAACAACGAGAATATAGTTTTGCAACTACACAGATGGACATTTTGCTCTTAATACATAAAGTGCTGTTTTTCGATAGATAAAACGAAGGTGAACAATTAGGGATTAGCAAATTACTTCTTTATACTACCATGAAATATATTTTTTAAGTAAAAATGTAAGAATTTCCAGAACTGAAAGAATGACAAAATCATTTTCTTTTTTTCACTTTTACTACAAAAATATGTTTACTTACTATTATTTTACAAATGTTTTCATTTATGACGGCTTCTCTAATATTTTATTTTGTACTAAGCTTTTGACAAAACGTTTCGAAGCGGTAAACCTTTGCATACAAGAATAGAACCATAACTCAACATGTCTCAGTATTGCATCACCAAATTAGAACATGAATTTTAAACCAGGACATTGACCCAGGACTTCTTAAAGAATGTTAAACCTACTGATAAAATTAATTAGAATAAACAACTTAAATTATAATCGTAAAGTAATTAATTGGAATAACAATTTGAATAATTTATTATTGTCACTTTAGTATTGAAATTAGCACGTTCTCTTTTTCGAAATAATTACATTCATTGAATTAAAAAAATATACAAAAAGTAAAAATTTTTAATTATAATATGCAGCATTATTGATATTAAATACACCGTTAAAACATTATGAATTTTTAGAAACGACCAGATATAGAAAATCTTTAACAAAAATATTTAATTTCCAGAATCTCTATTAACTGAAGTGAAACTAATATTCTGCCACATCGGCAAGCAGTAAATAGATACTATTCATTTTAATAGTATTCCGAAGTAATATGTATAAGCATAAAAGGATCGTATGTTAAACCTTGCCACAACCGCAAAATTCTCGTCTGGGAATGTTCGTCCACACGTTACACCGCTCGATCGTATTGGCGAATATTAAATTGTATATGCAGAAATAGTTCGTTATCGATGGTACAACTGGTAAAAGAGTGATTCTTCTTAAAAATACAAGTCGAAAGTTTAGAATAAAATTTTTGTACCTTCGTTTTTCTAATTTTTTAAATTACTTGAAAATAGTTTTCAACATCAGTAACAATGCTTGTAAACACCAGTACGAATAAAAATAATCAATAGTAAAGTGGTGTAATAGTAGTTGTACACCTATGTAAAAAATTTTCAAAATCGATTTTTCGGAAAACGAAGCCTAATATGCAAAAATTTTATTCTAAACTTTCGACTTATGTTTTCATGAAAAATCGCCCTCTTCTTGATGGTACGAATTTACGACTAAACAACTTATAATTAAACCTCGAGAGACGATGAATGCAGAATGAAATAAAAAGTAAGCATAAAGTTGAATGAAACTTTCCAGTTCAATACGAAGTTTACTATTGTCTCGTCTTTTTCTTTCTTCTCGTTCTCATCATAAGCCGACGCCTACTTAAAAGTGGGAAAGATTGGACACGTAGTTTACATAAATATACAAGAAGCAAAATTTAAAAGCTGATCAAAAGTATAATGACTAAAAATTTATTCGATAGCTGATACCTTTGAACTTTCAAAGCAAACATTGTGATTTAGACGTAATAAAAGCGAAGTTTGAGTGAAAATTATTAATGGACTACTATGTATTTCACCCTAGATTTATAACATATTCATCATTAGAAAGCCTAAAAATATTTTACTTCTATTCACTCTGAAAAATCTTTTCCTTAAAATTTTATTTGGATATTTTTCGCGTCACTTACGAAACACCGATTCTACCCCATATTTCACATGTGGAATTCATGCATTATTATGTATTTAATCATGCAATTTTTTTCTTCTTTTTTCTACTAAAAAAAAGGGTATTATTTGCCAGAAAATAAAAAAAAATATTCTATCATTTTGGTTCTAATGCTTTCATGTGATAACTATACATAAATTTTTTTTACATAACACCTATCAAAATTACATATTCCTATACTGGTGTAGGTATTTCTACAAATGCAAAATACACCTTATAAAAAGCACTAACTCAACATATTCAAGAAGTATTATTTACCTGATTTTATTTATCTGATTTCCAACAACTTCAAAACAGTGTCTTTGTATATACACTTAGCTTTTGGTGCATAGATATTATACATATAATTGAAAATTTACTACAAATTTATAGTACAATATTCCAATTAATAATTGCAAAACATAATATTAGTATTGTGCACATTTTATTGTATTTGTATGTATTATGTAGTTAAAAAGAACTGACAAAAATAAGTATACGTGGCCTCAATAAATTTGTGAAAGAAAAGTGCAAAATGTTTATCAAAATGAGCATACAATGGATGATGAATTATAAAGGATAACAAAAGTATTAACAGAAAAAAAACAAGATCAATTGATAATATGTTTACTGACCTATGAAAAATTAAAACACTACATAAATCACAGTATATTTTGCTTAAATATGAAAATTATAATTTTATAATCTAATAACTCTTAGATAAAATATATAGATTATGGATGTATTTATGGATGTACTTATTTTGGGGGAGTGTTAACAAAAATTAGCACCATATTAAAACCTTCACAACCATCTGATCACTCCAAGAAGTACAAACAAAACTATCATAAAAAACAACATATTAACATGATTTAAATATGATTTCATTTTTACTTTTATTGATTACTTATAACTAAATTTGAAAAACAATTCTTACAAATATATTTCTATACGAATACCTAAAGGTTCCTTATATACAATTACAAGATATTTTTATTTATATATTATTATTTCAGTTTAGTAGATAAAAGATATGTACAAACATTCCTTATTTTATGACATTGTTTTATTACAAAAACCATTGCAACAAGTTGGAATTAACTAATATTGTTAATACTAAAAGCTCAAGACTACTGCAAAGTTTATAACTTGGTATGCTGTAAAGTATTTCATAACATTATCATGTTTAACTTCCTTGTTATGTATGACGATAAACTGTTATCAAGCACAGCTCAAAGTATTAATGATTTCTTATCACTATTGAAATAAAAATAAATGCAGTATAAATATATAATATCATTGATGAGGTGAACCTTCTTACATTAAAGTTATTATATTTGCCATGAACAAAATTTTTACTTTCATCAGTTCTTCTTTTAAAATAAAACTATATGTAATTTCAATAAATTCTCTTATTCCATAATTTTTCTTGAATGTCTCTTGCATTTAAAATACACTTTTATTTTAATATAAACAGGATAAGCCTTATGCAATATAATAGAAAGTGATATCACAAAAGGTTTGCATGGTGATAGTGAAACTAAAAATATGATTAATTCACTACCTTAATTACACGTAATAAGAAATAACAAAATGCACTTTCATTGAGGCCACACTGTTCAGTCATTTCATTATTGTTGAATGTATTTTATCCTTTTACAATTTCACTAAAGTATTAGACATCGAACTGGTAATTATACAACTTTCGTACGGTTATAAGAACAATTGATTGACGAACTATACACATTCACATACTCCGTAATAAAAGATTATTAATATACATATAAAGTTAATTTCATCGACTGCATGTTACTAATCGCACGATATGTTCGAAGGAACTGATAACACATCAATATAACAGAATAGGAAATCTAATCGATATAATGACGTGCACCGTCTAACCTTATATTTCGTGTAATGCTACCTCACAATATGATCTTTAAACAAATTTTTAAAATAAATTTTTCATAGCAAACAATCTGATTGTATTGTTTAACTTAATTACTTCTGTACATAATATGCAACAACAATATATTCAAATATACGTGTATAAACAAAACTTGAATACTATCCTAGAAACAACCTCCAACAAAAATCCCTATCATCTACAAAGAAGTTATATCCCATATATTAAAAAATACATTTTTTTTTACTATATACAAAATTTACATTAAGCAAAATGTACAACAATTTTATTTTCACAATATAGGAGCAGTATTTTCATTATATATATTTAAATTTAATATTTCATTGTTCGACGCAAAATGTTACATGTATCCTATATATTCTACCTTTTCGTTTAAATCGTGAAACTAGTACACTCATTTCTTCTTTATTCTCATAAAGAAATTTGACACAACAGTAGTAAAAGTAATGTATTTTTTTTGAAGTTTGACGTATGCTAGTTTTTCACTTACAACGCTAGATGTCACAGTACAATGTCAAATTGACATACGTACTTCTAACAATTCTTTGATCAGTGTTGAACAGTGTCAAGTGTTTAGTAGTACAATCTGGCAATCGAACAATAACAATTTAAAATGAGTTCCGTAGACTGGGACGAAGTAAAAAGATTAGCCGCTGATTTTCAAAAGGCACAACTAAGTTCCACGCTACAAAAGTATGATTTATTTTCATAAGATATCTTTATTTCCTTGGTAATCTTATTTCATCAATGACATCTACTATGAATGAATTTTAAACAGCTGTAGAATGAAACTGCAATATTTATAAGATTAAATAAAACTAAATCAATTAGCATTTGTAATAATTTAATCAATTTAATATAATTGTATTGTGATTTCCATATACAACAACTTTTTGCACACTAACTGTTTATAGGTATATTGAAACAATCTGCTATAAAAACTGATTAAAATCAACATATTTTATTATAATTTATGTATTACTCATTTTTTTACCATAGTTTTTAATATTCCACATAGGTTATCAGAACGTAATTGTGTAGAAATTATAACAAATCTGATAGAGACAAAACTATTAGATGTAATATTTACCAATGATGGTAAAGAATATATTACACCTCAACATCTGGGCAAAGAAATCAAAGATGAATTGTATATTCATGGTGGTAGAATCAATTTAGTTGACTTGGCACAAATTCTTAATGTTAATTTATCTCAAGTATCTAAGGTGGCAAATGACATAGAGAAACATAGTAAAGGATTAAAGATAATACTTGGACAGCTTATTGATAAATCTTATACGAATAAAATTGCTCAAGAAATCAACGATAAACTAATACAACATGGTTGTATTAATGTAGCAGAGTTGACAATACATTATAACTTGCCAGCTGAATTTTTACAATCTTTAATTGAAAAAGAATTAGGAAAAACAATATATGGCAAACAAGACACACAAGATTTTAGAGTTTTTTACACAGAAAGTTTCATAGCTAGAAATAAAGCAAAAGTAAGAGGTGCCTTATCTGCAGTCACAAAGCCTACACCATTATCAGCAATTCTAGGACAATGTTCAGTTTCAGAAAGAATATTTTTTTGTGAGTATATGGTATAAATTATGTACATGTTTTAACTAAATTAATGTTTTTAATGATGTAATGTGGGTATATGTACATCTTATAGCAATTCTGGATAGCTTACAAGAAATGAAGCAAATTCCTGGTATTGTGGCAGGAAAACAGGGAACAAATAGTTTTTACATACCAACAATATATTCCAAAAGTCAAAATGAATGGGTGGATAACTTTTATAAACAAAATGGTTATTTAGGTTTGTGTTATTTTACACTAAAATATTACTAATCATACAACAATAATAAAATTTGAAGTCCATTATTCTATGTATGTATGATTTTTTCAGAATATGATGCACTCACTCGTCTTGGAATATCAGATCCACCAAACTTTGTGAAGCGTCATTTCCCAAATGAAAATGTAGTCTTATTAGATTCTGTTGCTGTGGGTACAAGTATTAGGGATCTAATTGATGCAAATATTGAAGAAGCTATTTTAACTGGATCTTTTGTTGATATAAGCCCTCTTCTACCATCTATATTTTCTGATAAAGATATGGAAATGCTTCTTAAAATTGCAAAGAAAAAGATAAATAATAATACATATGTATTTGCAAAAACTGTAGTAATGTCTAATGCGTTTTTACAATCTTTAAATAAATCACTTGAGTCAATGGCAGAAACAAAAGCTAGAGAAACGGTAGCTAGTGGACAATGGTTTCAAACAATAGCCGAGAATAGAATTAAATCTAAATCGGCAGATGTAATATTCGAAAGTAAAGGAAGTAAAGACGAGGAACGTCGTAAAAAAGCTAAAAGTGGCAAATCAGGTGGTGGTTTTCATGGAAGAGAAATAAAAACAAAATCTACTAAAAAAAAGCATCTACAAGGAAAATGTCGTGACAATGAATCTGATGATGAAGATTTTAAAGTCACACCAACTAAAATTAAACTTAAATTAATATCTTTAGAAGATATAAAAGATGAAATTACAAAAGATGATAATTTGGTAGTAATTGATGATTTAGTAGAGGAATTGGCATCATACTTAGAAGTAAAAATAAATGATTATGCCATAACCTTTGCAGATCAATTAGCACAAAATAATAAACCCACTAATTTAAGTGAAATTGAAGAACGTTTGAATGTTTTAATAACAAACATTAAGATATTTGACAAAGGCATCAAGCATATGGATAAAGCAGATCAACCTGCTTTAACAAAGTATTTACTAAAATCTCTCGGTACTGATTTTGTAAATGAGTTATTTAAATTAGCCGCACAACAAAACATGCTTCAATTTCCTGAAAATATTACCACCGAAACGAGACAAAAAATGTTACTAATTCTGCCGGAAGATGTTAAAGAGCCTTTAAATAACATACACAAATGTATTACTGGAAATTCCATAGATGATTTCTTGAATTTTGTAGATGCAGCAATGGCAACTTGTTGTTTGATATTAAAAAAATATGATAAAAAGAAAGAAAGACCGTTTATTTTGGGTCATAAAGAAGCCTTATTAGAAGAGCTCAATAGTACACAAGATCCAGCATTAGCACTACACTTAGTCACAAGTATATTATACATTGTTTCAACACAGAATGTTCTACACATGTCTGGCAGATATGTGTCTACAGTTCTTTCATTTCTTCGAACATACTTGCAAACTTCAACCATGGAAGTGCTATCTAAATATCATGGTATGAAACATTTAATAAC